TCCCTTACTCACATCTATTCATACCTTATAAAAATCCTTGCAAAAAAAAAGTTTTAACAACTATCTCTTTCAAGGACAAATTATGGTACGCATAAACTTAAAGCCTGAACAGCGTAACTATAATTTTAAAACTGTCACAGTATTATACATCAACAGGTTGATTCAACATCTGCTCTTCAATTTTTCACCCAAGTTGTTATGGAAACCAAAATACGTGGGATCTGTTTCCTAAATTTAACTGATTATTTCAAGTAAATAAAATTATAACACATCAGCTTATTAACTATAAATAATATAATTACTATAAACCTATATTTATCCTTTTTAAATGCTAGTGGATCACAGGATTATATTTCATGAGGCATCTACAGACATTTTATCTCAGAATTCACATTAAAATAAAAGAGCAAAGGTATTCTTATTTCTAGTTTGGGTGCATTATCTTGATTTAGGAACAAAACAAGAAGGGAACTGGTGCTGATGTATTCCAAAATTATACCACTGTCCTCCTCTGAGGAGCTGTGGAGCTCGTCAGACCCTGTCACCTCTCCAGTCCTCAAAATCCTCCAGCAACGCCCTACTCTAAGCAAAAGCCAAAGTCCTTACGGGGCCACAAAGACAGGGCGCCCCCTTCCCTTGACTACCCCACCCCAGGCTGTCTGGTCTCCTTGCCATTCCTCCTATCTCAGGGCCTTGCCCCCACTCTTCCATCCACAGGGAAGGCTCCCACCCACAGCCTAACTCGTTCATTTACTTTAAGTCTGCGTTCAATTATCAGCTTCTCAGGGAAAGCATCTCTGACCAATCCTATTTTAAATTGCTGTATCAGCAACTCTCTCATCTCTGCTCACACATCACTCATCTGCTAAGGACTGAACTTTTTCCCCATAAAATTCATGTCTGGAAAACCTAACTCCCAATGTGTATTTGGAGGTTGGGCCTATAAGGAGATGATAATTAAGGTTAAATGAGGTCATAAGGTAGGACCCTGAATTCTGAATGGGATTTGTATCTCTATAAAATAAAGACACCAGAGAGCCCACCTCCCCCAGCCCCAACTTATTGTCTGTCTCCCCTTATTGCCGTGTGCTTAATGAAGGAGGAGATTTTGTTTAGTTCATATCACTTACAACATGTGAATAGTAAACATCTGTTGAATACATAAATTTAAAACATCTTAAATGCTAATATACTGGGCTGGCACCGCAGCTCAATAGGCTAATCCTCCGCCTTGAGGCGCCAGCACACCAGGTTCTAGTCCCGGTCGGGGCGCCGGATTCTGTCCCGGTTGCCCCTCTTCCAGGCCAGCTCTCTGCTGTGGCCAGGGAGTGCAGTGGAATCCTGCACCCCATGGGAGGTGCTTGGGTCCTGCACCCCATGGGAGACCAGGATAAGTACCTGGCTCCTGCCTGCGGATCAGCGCGGTGCACCGGCCACGGTGGCCATTGGAGGGTGAACCAATGGCAAAGGAAGACCTTTCTGTCACTCTCTCTCTCACTGTCCACTCTGCCTGTCCAAAAAAAAAAAAAAAAAAAAAAGCTAATATACTATGATAAGAAATCATATTTTTGTAATGATCCTCCATGAATACAATAAATTTTAAAAATCAAATTATAAAAATTTGCATTGTCATCATGCAGCCATAGAATCTTGCTTTCTTGGTTCTCTTCCTATGAATCTGGTCTACAATAGGCTCTGTCTTCCTCCCACCAATTAAATATGGGAAATACCTAATATTATAAATCTGCACTGGATCTTCTCTACTCACTATGCAGGTGAATGCTTCCACTTTTATTGGTTCAATTATCAGCCCTTTGGGGGTGACTCTGAAATCATCACCTTTTGCCCAGGCCGGTCAGTGCTGTACTCCCAACCACCGTTGAAATGCGTATCACTTAAACCACAATGTACGAAAAATCAAAGGACAGGAGCCTCAGGTAGAATATAATAACACACTTACTTGTGCAGAAAAGAATCCTAAATAAAACATATTAATTTTAAAATGTAATCTATGTAGTATACAGACTCACATAACTCTACACACTGCCTGAGGATTTGCTTTCTTTCATTACAGAAATTAGACCTATGAAAGTACGGAATTCCAATCTCTGAATTATGACTGTGTATTCTAATTAACAATATACCCTTGCACTAACTATCAGTTTCACTTCAACCACTGAATTAGTCCCAATATTGTAGTAGAGTTTTATTACTTTCAAATTGAATTTAATCACTTGGGGTGGGAAATATAAGAAATTTATATGAGGCTTTCAAATTAAGTTTCTGAAATAGGATACTTTATTTTTGGAAGAAAACATTTCTCATCTTTTTCTTCATCATTGGTTCCCAAATAACATTTGTTTCTCCAGCCATTTTTCTTCATATTCACCAATCAATTCATTATTACTGACTTCTCCAAAGCATATTTTTGATTTCTCTGAAGATCCTCAGTGATTTGAAAAAATGACAACTCGGAATTTAGGAAAGGCTTCAGATGAAAGTTGGATGGAATTCATTCAGTTTAAATAAACATTATTTTTAGAATTGTACTGGGTTAAAAGAAAAAGAGCAAAAATTCTGAGAGAAAGTCATACAGTTAGGACAGCTGCAGAGACAGGTGAAGGCGTAACAAGTGTGCTATGAGGTCTCTGGGCCTGGGGTAACATGGAGGCGGCTCTCAGAGTCAGAGGACCTTAGCAGAAACCAGTTACTGATGAAACACATCTGTCCCAGGCTCATACTGCTTCATCAAGGGGAATGATTATTATATATTATATCAGGTCAAGTTCACTGCTGTTCCCTTTATATTGTTTCTTCAAGTTAAAAGTATAAATGAAATCTAGCTAGAATGGGTATTACCTTAAACTTTATATCTGTATCCTCCTCAAAATTCTTATGCTGAAATCCTAACCCTCAGGGTGATGAAGCTAGAGGGCAGGGCCTTCGGAAGCGACTAGATCATCAGAGTAGAGCCTCATTACTGGACGTGGTACCCTTATCAAAGAGGCTCCAGAGAACCATCCTGCCCCTTCCACTATGTGAGGTTACAAGGAGAAGAGAGCTGCCTACGCACTGGGAAGTGAGTGTTCACCAGATCCAGTCTTCCAGCACTTTGATCTAAGACCTCCCAGCCTGCAGAACTGTTAGAAATAAAGCTCTGTTGGGTCTAGGCCACCCGGACTACATGGTATTCTACTACAGGCGCCCAAAGATATGTGTTAGGAAACCTTGCCTGGCTATCCCCAATGCTCATAAACGGCAAACACAGTATGCCTAGATTATCAAATCTTGTCATCACTCTTTTCAAACATATCCAGAATCTCATGTTTTTCTCCCCTTTCTTCTGCTACAAGATATCTTGGTATAAGCCACCAAAATCTCTTACCAAGAATACTGTAAGAGCTTCCTAAAGTAGCTCCTTATTCCATCCTTGCTCCACTATAGTCTACTCCACAAAGCAACCCACTGATCACTACAAGACATGAATCAGACCAACCTACCCATGCTCAAAATGCTCCACTGGCTTCTCATGTCGCTTGAAGTAAAGTCCTTACAATAGCTTAGAAGATCTTTCATGGTCTTCGACCTATATCCTTCTCTGCCCTCTATCTACTCCATTCCTGGTGCCTTCTTTGCTATTCCTTGAACACACCAAACATACTTTTTCTTCTGGTCCTCTGCATCAGCTACTTTCTTAGCTGGAAAAATTCTGCTCAGTAGCCAAAGACTTGCTCCCTGCATCCCCCCAGATTCTGTTCAAGGAAGCCTTCCTTGACTTGATTTTTCCCCAATACGCTTCTCAGTGATCAGCATACTGTATGTTTTTTGGTTTGTTATTTGTATTACCTAACTAGAATGGTAGGTCCAGCAAAATAGAGAGTGGTTTTTTTTTTGTGGTTGTTGTTGTTGTTCACTTCCCAGCAACAGAACACAGAACTGTAGATTATCAATAAATACTGATCAAATGAATGAATGAATCTTGTATTCATTTATTACTCCAAACTAGATGTGGATTTTTTTCCTTTATATATTTCTACTTTTTCATAAGTCATATTCTCTGTACTCATCATCATGAAAATCATGCAAATACCAACAACTATGGCTTATTCCCTACATCTAGCATTTCATTCTTTCAATACTCATAGATAAGCAATATTAGCTGAGCTGCATTTGATATCATACAGAAAGATGCTTCCATACTAGCACTGGATCTATTGTGTTTTTTAGCAAATAGTACAATACCAGATATTAAATTCCTAAAGAGTGTTCTGCTTTCGAAAACAACCAGCAAATATAATGCAAGTAAGACAGAAGTGAGCCTATAACCTGGCTTAGAGATCCTTGACATCTACTTTGTGCCAGCATGAAAGCCACAGAAACATTATGAGTGATATTAACAAATCAAGATCTTCAGAGGATAGTAAAAACTACCTAAGAGAAAGCTGCCTCTTTTATTAGAAAAACAAAAACAGAACCCAGACTATATATGCCTCACTCTATGAAGAAATAACCAGGAAGCAAACTAACATGAACAGATCTTTTTCTAAGAAAACAACTGGAATTAATATCTAGTTAACCCAAAAGTTTCGCACAATTCATTACCTTGTAGTTTTCACAAAATGTTTCAATCACCAAGGAAAGATTAAATTATGGTCAATATGTTGAAAAGGAAAATCATATGCTTTATGTTTAAACTTCCATCAAATCAGTTAAAATTAATACCAAAGATATAATATCTTCACCATGGAGATAAGTCAACTGTACATAGTAATTTACTTCTCAAGACTTGTGGACAAACAGGATTTTACTTTTTAATCAAATCCTGTGAGAACTGATAATGCATAATTATAGTAAGCAAAACAGTTCATAGGCTAAAACTCTAAGCAAAAGAAGAAATAGCATTACAAATAAACAATATAGCTTAAGCAAAAGAAGTAATAGCATTAAAAATAAATTATATAGTTTTTTAAAATGTCCTTCCTTACACATTGCTAGCTCACCTGAGGGATTAGCCTATCCAGGTGCTCAGCTCTGTTTCCATGAGACGGGTGCGTAGATAACCATTCTGGCAACTTGGGATGGCCATGGAGGCTATCTGCAAATTCCATCTGCTGCCAAAACACCGAACTGGCTCTGACGTCCACACAAGCCTAAAACCATATTAGTAACAGCACACTTAGCTAATGAGGACATTTTCTAAAATTTACCTGTATGCTACCACATGTTTTAAAACAGTTTCTATCAATATTTTGAAAAACTATTTTGCAAAAAGTAAAAATACACTCATTGCTGAAAAAAAAAAAACTCAAATGATGTGGTATTATAGAAATAAAAGAACTTGGGGCTGGTGCTGTGGTATAGCAGGCATAGCATGGCACTGCCTGCAGTGCCAGCATCCCATGTGGGTGCTGGTTTGTGTCCCGGCTGCACCACTTCTGATCCAGCTCTCTGCTATGGCCTGGGAAAGCAGAAGATGGTCCACATCCTTGGGCCCCTGCACCCACATGGCAGACCTGGAAGAAGTTCCAGGCTCCTGGTTTCGGATCTGCCCAGCTCCAGTCATTGCAGCCATTTGGGGAGTGAACCAGCAGATGGAAGACCCTCTCTCTGCCTCTACTTCTATAATTCTGCCTTTCAAATAAATAAATAAATCTTTAAAAAAATTAGGAAAGTAAGAAAAGAAATATTTCACCTCCCCAACATTCGCAATAATCCCACTCTTGCAAAATAACTTGCTATTTTCAGTATGATGAGTATTAAAGAATGTGTCAAGAGTAAAATCTTCCTCACAAATTAAAAATTTCTGTTCTCATAAAAATAAGGTTGTAAAATACAATGATATTAAACTGTACCAAAGAAATTTTACTTCTAATCTCTATCACTAGAGTAATTAGAGACAGCACAAAAACATACAGAAAAGACAGCTGCATTTTTAATAAATATATTTTTCCTCAATGTCAAAGAATATATTTAATCCCTTTAAAATATCTTATGAAAATATTATGGTTTTTTTCTAAAAAAAAACCACCAAAACAGGGTATATATGTATATAGTGTACCTGTGTGCACCATTCCATACACAGCCATATACATATTCTTTCATATGCACAGAACGTTCCTAAAAGGCTATTTAGGAACTGAACAGTAGCTGCCCTGAGAGCACACTGAAGTAGTTGATGGTAAAGAGGGAGCAGGACTTTTAATTTTGAAGTTTAATACAGTAACATTTTAAACTGTCAATAAGGTGACTTAATGAATAGTTTTATAAGTCTATTCTACTCATTCTTCTTGCCTTACTCTTTCTCTAGAAGTAACTAGAAAACAAGTGATTATATTTCTTAAAAGATTTTGTGATTAAAGCCAAAAATTACATTGTATTTTATGCTATCAAAAAGCCTTAAAATAGCAACTGTGATACCTAAAAACACAAATATAGAATATCATATGGTGATATAGCTAGTCAACATCCATGCCAAATAATTTTTTTTTTTTTTGTAAAGATTTATTTATTAGTTTGAAAGTTAGTTACAGACAGAGAGGGACAGGCTAACAGACAGAGATCTTCCATTCCCAAGATGGCCATACTGACTGGGGCCAGGCCAGGCCAAACCCAGGAGTTTCTTCCAGGTCTCCCACATAGGTGCAGGGGCCCAAACACTTGAGCCATCCTCCACTGCTTTCCCAGGCCATCAGCAGGGAGATGGACAGGAAGCGGAGCAGCCTGGACTTGAACCAGCGCGCATACAGGATGCCAGTATTGCAGGCAGCAGCTTTACCCCTACACCACAATGCCAGCATTGCTAAATCATTTCTTAACAAACAACATTAAAACATTTTTTAATGTGGGAAAAATGCAGAGAAAAAATAAGTTGAAATTCAAGTAAATTTTATTTAATATTTCAAGCAATGTAATTCTTTAAGATCTTTGAGTACTCCGAGTTGAAAAGAACCAAATGGGGAGACGGTATTGTGGTGCAGCAGGTAAAGTCGCCGCCTGCAGTGCCAACATCCCATATGGACAATGGTTCAAGTCCTAGCTGCTCCACTTCTGATCCAGCTCCCTGCTAATGGCCTGGGAAAAGCGGCAGAAGATGGCCCAAGTGTTTGGGTTCCCACCACCCATTTGGGAAACCTGCAGGAGGTTCCTGTTTTCTGGCTTTGGCCCAGCCCAGTCCCAGCCATTGTGGCCACTGGGGAGTGAACCAGTAGATGGAAGATCTCTCTCTCTATCTCTACCTCTCTCTCTGTGACTTTGACTTTCAAATAAACAAATATTTAAAGAAAAGAAAACAACTAAGAACCCAAGGTACTTTACTTTAATACAAAGATATATATATATATATATACACAAATGCATATATAAACAGGAATACATAACATAAATATATACAACATACATATAAATATGATCTATATTTATATATACACATTTATATGTTATAAGATATGTTTGTGCTTATGTATAAAGTATGTGTAATATCTATATCCATGCAGAAATTGTGAATAAATTCTACACACCCACAGGAATGAGCTCCCCAATGAAAAGTTCATAGCCGATGTACTCGACAGGGAAAAATTTAAAGCCACTCCTCTAATATCTGAAACAAGACAAGGATGTCCACTCTCAACTTCTATTCAGCATAGTTTTAGAAGTCCATGCCAGGGCAATCAGGCAGGAAAAATAAATAAAAGGCATTGCAATGGAAAAGGGAGAAATGAAATTATCACTACTTGCTGATGATGTAAAAACCCTGTAGACTCTACCAAAAAAAAGTTTTAGAACTAATGAATTTAGTAAAGAGCAGGATAAAAAAATCAATACATAAGAATCAGTAGTGTTTCTGCACATTATCAGTCAACTATCCAAAAAAAAATAAAATAAAATAAAATAAGGGAACAATCTAATTTACAAGAGCTAAAAAAAATAAAAACACAAAATGCTTAGAAGTAAATTTAACCAAGGTAATAAAAGACCTAGACACTGAAAACTATAAAAGATAGATGATGACAAAAATAAGTGGAAAGATATTCCAGGTTTTAAAATGTCCACATTAACTGTTACGATTTAAATATGCTTTATCCCTCTGAACTTACACAGAAGTTTAATCCTCATGAAAGGATAGTCTCTTCAACAAATAATGCTGGGAAATCTGAACATGCAAATGCAAAAGCAACTGGACCTTTACTTACACCATATGCAAAAATCAACTCAAAATGGCTAAAGACTTAAACATAAAAATCTAAAACCATGAAACTCCTAGAAGAAAATAAGGAAAAATTTCATGACATTGGTTTTGGCATTTCTTTCTTAGATATGATACCAGAAACGCAGGCAGCAAAAGTAACAGAGGGACCATGGCAAGCTAAAAAGTTTCTATACAGCAAAGGAAATAACAGTATTAAAATGCAACCTATGAAATAGAAGAAAATGTCTGCATACACTAGATCTGATAAGAGGTCAATACCCAAAACATACAAAGAACATCTACAACTCAATAGCAAAAAAGTAATAATAGCATAATTTAAAATGGCCAAAGGACTTGAACAGACATTTCTCAAAAAGAGGCATATAAATGGACAAAAGGTATAGGAAAAAAGATATTCGACATCACAAATCATCAGGGAAATAAAAGCGAATGTAATCAAAAACCACAGTGAGAGCTCACTCCCACCTGTTAGGATGGCTATTATTAACAAAATAAAAAGTGTCAGAAGGATAAAAAGAAGCTGGAGCCCTGGGACACTGTCTGTAGGAATATAACATGGTACAACCACCACAAGAAACAGTGTGGAGGTCATTCAACAAATTAAAAATGGAATTCCCATATGATTCAGCAATCCCACTCTGGATATTTACCCAAAAGAGAGTCGAAATCAGGAACTCAAAGAGACATATGCACGCCCCCTCTCACTATAGCATTATTCACAATATCCAAGAGGTAGAAACAACCTAAATGCTTACAGACAGGTGAATGGATTGAGAAAATGTGGTACAAAGTGAATATAAAACAAAATTTTTTGAAAGACTTATTTATTTCTATGAAAGTCAAAGTTACAGAGAGGGACAGAGAGAGAGAGAGAAATCTACTACCTGCTGATTCACTCCCCAAGTGGCCCGAATGCCCAGGGCTAAACCAGGATGAAGCCATGAGCTTCATCCAGGTCTCCTACATGGGTGACAAGGGCCCAAGTACTTTGGCCATCTTCCACTGCTTTCCCAGGCCATTAGTAGAAAGCTGGATATGAAGTAGAGCAGCTGAGACACGAACCAGTGCCCGTATGGGATGTCGGCTGTGGTTTTACCAGCTTTACCACAACACTTACCTAAAACAAAATATTTTTAAGACCTTGAAAGTAAGGAAACACTGCCATTAATGACAATGAGGACATTAAGCTAAGTGAAATAAACTAGCCATATAAAGACAAATACCATATGATTTCACTTACATGAGGTGTCTACAAAAGTTAAACTCATAGCTCTGGACATAGAATAATGGTTGCTAGGGGCTGGAGTAGGAAGAAATGGGAGCTGCTACTGAACGGATACAAAGACTTAGTTACACAAAATGAGTAAGTTCCAGAGGTCTGCTACACAGCATTGTGTGGTTTTTAACAATACTATACTGTACACTTAAAATTTCACAGGGTAGATCTCATGCTAAATGTTCTTTTTTATTTATTTTTATTTATTTGACAGGTAGAGTTATAGACAGTGAGAGAGAGAGACAGAGAGAAAGGTCTTCCTTCCGTTGGTTCACCCCTAAATGGCTGGTGTGGCCAGCGCTGCGCCGATCGGAAGCCAGGAGCCAGGTGCTTCCTCTTGGTCTCCCATGTGGGTGCAGGGCCCAAGCACTTGGGCCATCCTCCACTGCCTTCCTGGGCCACAGCACAGAGCTGGACTGGAAGAGGAGCAACCGGGACTAGAACCAGCACCTATATGGAATACCAGTGCCACAGGCAGAGGATTAACCAAGTGAGCCACGGCGCTGGCCCCTCATGCTAAATGTTCTTACCATAAAAAGAAAGAAAAAAAAAAAACTGACAGAGACCAACAGGAAATATTTGTAAAATAAATACTCAGCTCATCAAAAGCCTAACTCATTTACCTCAATAAAAATGGCAAAGTAAGGAAGCTGTGTGTTCAAGCCTCT